TTTCATTAAATAGAGTGCAGCAGCTGTAAGGCATATTTACCAACATTGTCATCAATTTAAAGCCAACTTGTTAGAGGTTTAATACATTATGCAATCCACAGTTGTACAGATTTAGAATTATTTTCACTACAGCATTTACTCCCAGTTTTTTTCTTTCAGGGTATGACATAAATAGTCAATACTTTGATCTAGTTTTAAAAAAAAACCTATGTACATACATGTCAATCATGTTTCATGGGATTGACAAATTTGAAATTGAATTTCTGTATGAAGGATGTGAAAGTAATATTTGTCGTGCAATCAATTAGTTAAATTATAGACTCTTAAGTCCATTCACATGAACATAACTATTGTGCTAAATACTATTAATAATGATAACATTAATATTAGTAATAATAAACTGGGAAAGTTAAGGGTATCATGAAAAAAATAGTAATAATAATATTATTATTATTATCATCTTAATAATGTACAAATATTTCAAAACGTGTCAGCACGGCCTGTGCTGCATCAAAACACATGGTAATTTGACCCCTTCCAGTAAGAAAAATCGTAAGCGCAACAGATAAGTAAGTTAAATAGTAGCCGAGCCAGACGCTCGGCATTGAATTACGCACGAGATTCTGACGAAGCCCGAACAAATGAAGTAAGTCGGCAACCACCACTACCGACAAAGCCCCCGCCGAGGAGCCCGGCTTCATCCATCCACGACCTTAAGCATATATCATCCAATGAAGTTGATTTTGAACCATCAAATCCAGTGGCGTTGTCTCCAAAGTACACTCCATCCTTTGCTTACGTCATGATCGATGATAATCCGTCACCGCCCATTGCGTGAACAAAATATCATCTCTAACGAACGAACATCACAAAATTCATCCTCCCAAACGAAGGCGTAAGCAACTCGTTCACGATGTCCTCTTGCGAACGAACGTCGTCGTCGAAAGCCATCGTCATTCATCCATCCATGGTCCAGTGGATGATATTGGGGTGTGGAGTTCAGGCGTTCATTCGCTCAATACGAAGGAGGCATGACGTCACGGCGACGAATGAACCCACAAACTCAGAGTCCTACACTGCTCTGCCAATTTTATTTTGGCAGAGTACATTTTCATTTTGTGAACTGTTCTGTACTAAATATCATTTCTGCTGACGACCATTTGACTATTTGACAACCAAATACATGTAAATGAAAGATAAGAGCATTTTTTTATGTTGCAGTGTTCACCTGTAACAAATTTTTAAAATAAATATGAATTACTAATAAAATACAATGATAAGAATTATCATCATTTAAACGTAAATAAAGAATAAAGTATCAAAATAAATAGAAAAATAAATCAGTTGCATACATCTTCAAATATTATTGTTCATTCATATTGCAATGTCATGTTGATGTTCAATGATTCCAAGAGGTGAATTCATGACACCAGGTGTGGCAGTATCTTAGGATTGCCAACAAACATACATGAAAGCTCTAAGAAATTGTAACAAATTTGGTTTGTTTTTTTAATCAGCACTGTAAGTAAAGGATGCCAATCTACAAAACCTTACATCTTACACATTGCTATTGAACTTAATTAAAGACTTGCTTCAGCTAATATTCAGTACATCTTTTCCCCTTTTAGTTGTTAATGAAAGCCATGAGGCATGAATCTTAATCTTGCAGGTGATGAAAAAAGGGGTAAAGAAGGGGGACTGAAAGAAAAAGTAGAAAACTGAGGATAATAAATTGCCATAAGATAGGCATTAAATGAAGCATTCATTTTTTTTTATTATTATATTTTTTTTGGTGTTGCATCTTGGGAAGATATAGATTCAAACATAGGCATTGAAAATATCTTGAAAATAGAAAAAGGTCTTATCCACATCAAAGAAACTTTTATAAATTCAAGGACAAGAAAACAATGTGAATTGAAAGCACAACCTCATCACCAACAACAACAACGAAAAATGATTACAATGATGGGGGTTTGACAATTTAGTGCTAAAAAGATTATTATGGATTCTATTCAAGATTTAAGATAATGTTGATAGAAAATAAGTAAAAGCAAAAGTACTGAGAATTAAAAAAGCGGATGACAAACACAAACCATAAAGAGTCGAGAATAGAAAATAATAATAATTATAATAATTGCTTGGAGTTGCTGTACAAAAATCCCATAATGGTTGGCGACATAGTTAGAAATTTGTGTGTGTTACCCTGAGTTAGAAGAACATCCTGAATTTTCTTTGTGAGTGTATGTTCAACCTAAACTTGGGAAGGCTAACAAAATAACTATCAATTATACTGAACTAAGATATTTTATATCAAGTTCAAATATATTACAAGTTACTTGTAATTTTGTGAAATTGTGAACTTAACTTGTAGTAAAAAAATAATAATAAATAAAACTACATGTTGCAACAAAGTTTCTTTCACAGTAATAAAATTGCATTTTGGGTACAGAGAACCCTATTTGTTACAATAACCTGATAACTTGAAAGATGAATTGAAAATCAAAATATAAAATATCAGATCTCAAAATGAAATTTACGATTTCAGAGCGTAAGTCAATCCTCAAAATTGAACAGTGTGTTATTTATTGTTTTATTATTCATTTTAAGAACTTGTTTAACAAGTGATAATCATTGTTCACGTATTCATATAACTAAGTGAGGATGTGTCATATGATATAATATTCATTTGAATAGGATTTTCAAGCATGATAAAAATGTGCAGCAAAGAAAATCCCTGTGAGTTTGATTGATCTCATTATCTGAACATGGGTATTGCAACCAAGTGCTATAGTTATCACAACAACAAGTATTATTTTTGTATGTATATTGTTTAATTTGAAAATGACAACAAAGTCAATTGGATTAGGATGAAAATTATCCCAACCCTAATTTAATCCATAAGTGTAACCACATGCAACCATCTCTTCATCAATATTTCTATAGCCACACATTTCCCGGACCCTATCTGATAGCATTCTGATAGCAAATGGGCCCCACTCCTTAGTCCCGAATAGGATTCAATATGGGGGCATGATGTAGGCAGTGACTTCATTGTCATTTGGACAAATTGCATGCATTAACACAAGCTTTACATGTAAGAGAAATACTCCAACAAAGTGATGCTAAAGGCCCTGCTTTACTTTTGTAATTTTACTTTTTGAAACATGAAAGTTTGTTGTTCAAATCTGATCACAGTATAAATTAAATCCCATAAATTTTGCGACTTAATATAAACGATCTACGTTATTTTTTTCTCTTTTATTTGCAATTGTACGTGTTGGAGTATTTTAATGGAGAAAGATGTGAGTTATAATAGAAAAGTGGTCATCTACCACTGATAAATTCTGGGGCAGCTAAAGTACTTTATTTTTAGATTCCACTAAATTATAAAACAGTTGTCAAGTATGTCATAATATGACCACTATATATAGAATTAGTTGAATTTTACAACAACCATACTACAAATTCAATGAAAGTAGAAGTCATTAAAATGACTATAATGAACTAATCTAAAAACGTCAAAGTAGTATATTTTTTAAAATCTTTTATTTCACAATTCAACGTTTAGATTATCCAAACAATGATTTTTTTTACTTTGCATTTATTTCTAATTGTAGTACACTTGATTCAAGTGTACATATTGTGGTAAACAATTTAGAAGAGTACTTCATTACCTATACCATTTTACTCTTACATATATTCTTTTTTTAAAAATATAATTTGTATTGTCTTTTATGTAATATTTTAAATATATTGTTACAAAAAAAATTCCAGAATTGCAATAAGAATTGAAGGGTGAAATAAATCAATAAATAAATAAAACTGTAAAAAAAAACCTACAAAAATCTGAAAACCGCTTCCCCTTGAAATTAACAGATATTACTTTGAATATATCTGAAACAATAATTGGCGTAAATAATCATTCACAAGAGTGAGATGTGCAATGAAGATAGGAAACTCTATCAGTGCATGGAAAACAAAGAAAGAGAGAAATAATGAAGAAAACAAATGTATCATATAGAAGCATGTAAGAGTCTTCACTGTACTGGAAATATCTATGACATCAATATTATTAGATATTGTTATTTGATGTCATAGATATTTCCAGGTTTAGCGTTTAGGGTTAAACCCTAAACTTGGTCTCTTATTAGGTGCAATTAGCTCTATTTGTATTAACTAAACAAGATATTGTGTATTTTTATTCAGTTATTTCTAATGAACTTAAACAAACAAAACCTTCTACAGATGATGATTTGTGTGAGACATAATTTTGTTTCAACAATGCATGTTATGTAAAGTTAGCCAGCGAGTAAAATCACATATTTAAAAACACTTCAACAATAAGAAGTTACTTGTACCCTTTTCCCAATAAATGTGAGAAGAACTCTTCTGTTTGTTCCCTTCTTTAAACGAATAAAATACTATTTGAAGAACACAAGTTTTGAAAAAAAACAGAAGAGATAGATTTTGATACATACAAGTACTATGAAATTGCTTGTTTGCATTCCACCAATGTACAAAAAGAAGTATCTGATGTGAAAGCAAACTCATGCCAGTAGTACATAGTTGAATATATACATCCAATAAACATGATTTCATGTTAATTCAAGAAGAAAAAGAAAAAGAAAACACACCCTGACACACGCACTATATTTTGGTAGCCATTTTGATGCATTCTTATCCCCCTCCCCGAGAAAAGAAAAAGACAAGGCAATGAAAGATAAAGAAGAAACGAACTCGGAAGCCGAAGACGGATGACAACACACCAGGATGAACGAAGAAGAGGCGGATGAAAAACCGAAGCAAAGAGGCCCTCTAAGCAAAGCAGCCAAACCGTTAGAATACAAATATACAAATACAAATATATAAATATATAAGAAAGTATAAATACGGAGACACTAGAATAGGAATAAAACGCGGCATCAATGCCTGGCACTCGTGCTTATCCGGAGGGGCAGAGAGGGGCAGTATAAAATTAAAGGGCGAGGCGCTAGGGCAGTGGTGAACGGGAAGCAGCAATCGGGAGGCGAGTAAGTAAAGGGCTGTGTCTGCTGCTTTTACCCCCGAGTGAGACTGTGTGAGTGAGAAAGTGAGTGTGTGTGTGAGGTGTGTATGTGTGTGTGGCTTTTCGGTGAGCCTACTGGTGCACGCTGGCCTCCCTTTCCGGGCGCTCACTGGTTTGAGGCGGGCAGTCGTCCTATAAAAGTGTTGCCTCCGACGGGCTTGTCTCTTCCGTTTGTCTGCGCGAGACCCGATCCGCTTCGGACAGCCTGCATTCTCAGTCACACAGGGTGCGTTATTGAGTGAGAGTGAGCGAGTGAGTGCGTGCGGGAGCGACGAAGAGAGCGAGAGAGAGTCAGCGAGGAGGAGAGCTTTACATTCCCCTTCGTTTCGTCGCTTATACTTTGTTGCAGTGCGTCTCCGCCGAGGGTGACGCGGAGCTTAGGTTGGCATTAAGTTAGGCGGAGTTTTGGAGGGGGGACGCTGGGCGTGGTCGACCAGTGGCGGCAGGGGATAAAGCGAGGAGCGACTGCGTTACTGACGCTTTTGGTGCGCGAGCGCACTCTCTCGGAACCTCCGATTCAGCGCAGTAGATCCGTGTGCGCGGGAGAGGAAACGAGACTGGAATTGGTGTGCCGTATGTGGACGGAGTTAGAGAGTGGTTGCGGTTTGCATGTCTAGGGGTTGGTTCAGTGGTTCAAGTTTTGGTCGATAGCAGCAAGGGTCTGCGTTCAGCTAGTATCCGCGGCTGTCTGGAGTTTCAAGTAGGTCTATTGGACTCTGTCCTTCCTTGCAAGGTCGATCAATCCTTGGTGTGGACGAGCTTCTGCTTGGATATCCCCTTTTCAATCTTCTTATCTTCTCCGGTGCGGTAGTGTGTGTTCATGATCAGATTGAGATTGCGTCTAAGCTAGAGATTTCAGAGCCCTGATTTCCACCTTCTCCGAATGTGCAATCCAAGAGTAGAGTTGGACATCTGCGGCTACATCACATTATGAGTCATATCTGGATCTACTACATTCCTACCTACACGCCGCTAACTCCCCTCGGTTAAAATTAGAAGGCAGACATCTCTTTTTGCTTAACGAAGATCAAGTTCAACATGAATATCTTTGGGAAAGCTCTCTCTGGAGAGACCAACAACGACATCTACGATTCTGGAGAAAACGGAAGCATTGACTATGGAAGGCTGGCGGACTTCAGGCCGCGGAAGATTGACACTTACAACTCCCTCGATGAGAGATCCCTCAATGACATCATTTCCTCAGGTCTATCCTCGCCTCGCCCTCCCCGGCAGCTAGAGACCGTAAAAAGTTCTGAGTGCTTGGAGGCTCTGCTCTCTCCAAGCATTCGCTCGTCAGCGGGAACTCCTCGAGAATATCATGCTTTCGAGCCTCATCCAATGATTGCAGATGCATGGGAGAGACTTAGATTGTCTATGGTATACTTCCGGGACAGGCCAGTAGGCACCATAGCTGCCTTGGATCCCACAGAGGACTCACTAAACTACAATCAGGTTCGTTTTCTGGCACCTTTCCTGTTTCTCTGTAGGCGCAGGGTGTTCGTCTGGATATTGAGATATCAAATGTTGGTAATGTATGTGAAGAACGTATGTTGAGTTCGTTGCTGAACTTGTTGAATGGGCTCTAGAAGCTTAGAAATTCGCGTCTATGGTAAAGCATCTGTGTTGTTTTGATCGCGGGTGAGAGAATGATTTCTTTAAGGACAAATTGCAGAGAAGCCCATGGTTTTATCCGGCTTTTCATTGTTCATCCCAATTTGAACGAAATTGAATTTTGGTTGCCCCATCTGTAGCAATTAACTGAAAAAAATCCCCTTAGTCTAGCATCGTGGTAATTAGATAAGGTGAAGAAAACTATGCCGTGGTTGCTTCTAATATGGACAGACAGACAACTGTTGTGTTTTTTCATCGAAACGTATTTTGAGAAGTACATGAACTGGTTGTTTCACGCAATTCAGGTGTGTATGTGTGTGTGGCTTTTCGGTGCACCTACTGGTGCATGTGGGTGCGTCTAATTGTGAAGTTTCTCCTTTCGAAAATAATTTGCAGCTAGGAATCATAGATGTTTTATTCCCATTGATGCTGACTTATCCTGTAATTTCAGGTGTTTGTCAGAGACTTTGTACCCAGTGCATTGGCCTTTCTAATGAACGGTGAACCCGAGATCGTGAAAAATTTCTTGCTGAAGACACTTCGGCTCCAATCCATCGAGAAGAGGATCGACTGTTTTACTTTGGGCGAAGGCGTTATGCCTGCAAGTTTCAAGGTTCTTTTCTTTTCTTTTCTGTTCTTTTCTTTTCTCCTTTCTTTTAATATTAAACTCCAACTTGTTTGTTTCGTGTGGGTGCTTGTGTTTCAAACTATTCAGCATTTTGCAGCGATTTATAAACTTGGCTGGCGGATTGACTTCATACGACTTCTGGACTTCCGGAGATGGCTTGTATCTTTTTCCTGCTACTGAAGCTGCTGCTGGCTTGAAACTTGCAGGTCCTGCATGATCCCGTGCGGAAGACAGATACTATGATTGCGGACTTTGGGGAAAGTGCAATAGGGCGAGTTGCACCAGTAGATTCAGGGTTCTGGTGGATAATCCTTCTTCGTGCATACACGAAATCCACCGGCGATCACACTCTGGCTGATATGGCCGACTGCCAAAGGGGCATGAGGCTAATCCTAACTTTATGCCTAGCGGATGGGTTTGATACTTTTCCAACTCTTTTGTGTGCTGATGGCTGCTGTATGGTGGATAGAAGGATGGTACGTGCGTCTGAAACACTCGCTACTATCTAGTCGTGGATGATTGCTGCAATCGAAAGAAACACCATCTGTAATTCTTTTTCTCACCAAATTTATTGAATATCCCTGAGTAGCGGGACATGTAAATTTTCTAATTGTGTTAGATGAGATAAACTTGCGTGCTTCAGCACCGTCCCTCAATTACTATACTGTTTCTTGATCATCAGTTGAGGTTGTAACTTCTTTTTCGTTTTGCACAGGGCATTTACGGGTACCCAATCGAAATCCAGAGCCTTTTTTTCATGGCTCTGCGTTGTGCTAAGGTCCTTATCAAGCCTGATGGTGACGGCAAGGAATTTTTGGAAAGGATCGACAAAAGGCTTCACGCATTGAGTTTTCACATGCGAGAGTACTTTTGGCTAGACCACCAGCAGTTGAACAACATCTATCGGTTTAAGACGGAGGAGTATTCACATACTGCGGTGAACAAGTTCAATGTGATACCGGAGTCTATACCAGACTGGATATTTGACTTCCTGCCATTAAAGGGTGGTTTCTTCATCGGCAATGTTAGTCCAGCACGGATGGACTTCCGTTGGTTTGCCATCGGTAATTTCATGGCAATCTTGGGCTCACTTGCAACATTCGATCAAGCTTCCGCCATCATGGACTTGCTTGAAGCGAGATGGCCAGAGCTTGTAGGCGACATGCCTCTTAAAGTAACATACCCTGCAATGGAGGGGCACGAGTGGCGCATTATCACTGGATGTGACCCAAAGAACACTAGATGGAGTTACCACAATGCTGGGTCTTGGCCAGGTACATACATATACATACAAATATACTTGATTTTCCCATGGAGAGAGTTTTTTTCTCCTTCGCGTGGCAATTCATTACCCTCTACTGTCTCCGGAACATCATTCGACTGAAATACTGCGCCACTTTAGTTGGATTCTGGTTGGGTTGTTTTACTTGTTATGTTCAGGATTTGTAGGTACCTCTTGGGTTTCTGATACCTAGAACTTTGGCAAGGATATGTGCCTGAAATGAGTCTTTGTATTCTATATCATATCTTTGAATTTTTCTGAAACTTTGGAGATAGCATAGCAAGTTAATCATCTAGCAGTATTGAGCCAGCTACGTATTCCTTAACATGTTCTTTGATTGGTTATGTATGCAGTTATTCTTTGGATGCTGACAGCTGCATGTATCAAGGCCGGAAGACCGCAAATTGCAAGACGAGCTATCGAGCAAGTGGAGACTAGATTATCCGCTGATGGGTGGCCCGAATATTACGATGGGAAACTTGGACGATACGTTGGAAAGCAGGCCCGCAAGTTCCAAACCTGGAGTATCGCAGGTTATCTCGTTGCCAAGATGATGTTGGAAGATCCTTCCCACTTGGGAATGATCGGACTAGAGGAGGATAGGAAGATACAAAAGCCTTCTCTCACTAGATCTGCATCTTGGACAGCTTAAGGAATGGTTGGTCTCATATTTTATTTGTCTACGAATATCCTATCATAAAAGCTTTCAATTTGTGGCTGTGGAATCTGGATGGAAGTTGGTGCAACCAGAAGAAGCAGAGCATGGAGATAATCTTCCTAGGAAGTGCCTCTGGTCTTTTGCTCTCGAACGAAGGATTTCACCAGTGAAGGCAAAGCAGAGGCTTGTACAACAAATCATTTGGGCAACGGGCCACGGGCAACGGTTCATTGTCGTAGAAAACAGTGAGAAGGGTCATCACTGAAGATAATCTTCATTCAAGAAAACCAAGGATGGTTAAGGGAAAGGGAAGGCAATGCTCCGTCTTTCAACAACGGACATGGGTGTGGTTTATAGGAATGGAGGAGTCGGCATGAAACTTTGGGGTCATCCCAACTTTTGGAAGTGCTTCACTTACCACTACGCTTGATACCCCTAACAGGCATGGTGTGATTGAACTTCCATGAAGATGTAGGACGCCGATTTAACCCATGTATTACTATGGTCTCCATCCTCGTTCGAGGAAAGGCACGTAGAAGGTGTAAGAGTTGTACAATTCTGAAGGGCTTGCTTTCGGATAGCTTATTTGGACATAGAGTGCAGCGGTGGTCACATGATAAAGAAGGCCATACCAAAGATGTAGACTTTAGTTACAAATTTCCCTTTTTAAGGGCAAATTCATTTTTTTCATGCGTCACGGAGAGCGCTTTTGATGGTGCTGCTGCACTTTTGTATTGCTGGTCGTACGCCCTAGTTGAGTTTGCCAGCAACATTCACATCAACATCTGTGTCTGTACTTTCAACTCTTTTCACTGGCTACTTCGGCATCCAGTCTATATTGAAATTTATCAATTCTAACTTCCCAGCTTAATCAAACTGGAATCATTTTTTGCTACCTGTGTACTTCCACCTTGTGTCAGGTCAAATGTCTTTGGTTTGTGGTCACAATGACCTGTGGAGCTCTTGTTTTGCTGCCTCTTTGCAGATCACCTGTGGTCAGCACATGACAGTTGGGGGCTAATGAACAACTGAAGCTGGAGCTGGGCTTGAAGTGTGCATTTAAGATGACGGAGGCAGTGTGCTACGAGTGGCAGATGATGCAGTTTCAACTCGTGGCAACACTTTGCCCTGTGTATAATGTGAACAGCACGTAAAGCATGGGATCTGTCGTATGTGTGAGTCCTTTGGAAAACAAGTTACGAAACAAGACAAAGTGACCACATTTTTTCAGGAAGCTTGTTCTGGGGAAAGCTATCCTGGGTCCAGAGAATCGATGATTGAACTATCAGTGATCAGATTTGGCATTGCAGGGAGGGACAACTCTTTACCCTTTACTCAGAAGACAAAGGAAGGAATCAATCCTCTGCCTGCTTCTGAACCAGAGATTCCGAATAGCACCTCAATCCAAGTAGCAAACCAAGTAGACTTATTTATTTCTTATTTTTTATGGTCACATCCCTCCTAGTAAACAGTGACTGTGTGCAAGCGTTCAACTAAATGTGTTTGGACATGACAAATGTTGGGCTGTGCTCGCAGGTGAAAGAGATGAGAGGACCAGGGTGCAGGATGCCCATGCCCTCCTTTCAATTGGTCAAAACAGTGGAGACAAAAAACTTGTACCCACCAAGGCAACGTTTCATTCGACGCCTCTATAATCTCTCGTGCGACACATTCCTTCTTGGGCCTTGAGCACATTTTGATGGATGGCTGTCGTTCCACCCATGAACATGCCTTTGCATTGGCATTGATCTAGTGGTAACAATGAGCCTTACTATGTATACCACTGTTCTTGTTACATGGAATCTGGAGAAGCATACATTGTTGTTGTTGTAGTGTGCAAAGTGGCACGTCGAAATCAATGAAGTTGATGTTTATATTCGGTAATTTGGCAGTCGAACCTAAATTTTGAATGCTGGAAAGTGATCCTGCGTACCAGTTGAGGTTCGAAGCTACAAAACCAGCACTGCCAAAAAGGTCACTGGAAAAGTTGCATCGTGTTTTACACGTGTCATGAGAACCATAAAATAACGTGCGATGAATTTACTTTCGGCAATAAAAGATGCCCATACTGAAGCCAATATTACCTCGGAAAATATCAAGGTAATGTATATAAAGGAGCACTAAACTTAATAGACCCCAAAAAACAAAATAACTAATGCATTAGTTGTGAGATAGATCTTTATTCTTAGTAAATCCTCCTCACTCAACATCATGAAGTGCAAATCTCAACCCAAGTCTCACTGAAATATTTCAATGTGGACTTATACATCTATTGGAGGACAAAAATTTCTTCAAAATATCAAATAGGATCCAGAGTACTGAAAAGAGGGTATAAATTATGGACAATAATGGACAGTAATGAAAAAAGACTTTAAAATGTCCACATTGAAGGCTTCTATTCAATGATTAAATTAACTTTGCAATGGGACTTCATTTAATTTTAATGAGTACTATCATTTTCAAAAATATTTCTATTTGTCTTTACAAAGTTAGTATTCAATAAATCAAGCATCTTTGGCATAGATACACAAATAATTAAAAAAATTAAATAGTTGATTTTGAAAAATATATCTTTTAATACTAAAAAAATATACAAATATATATATATATATATATATATATATTTATAAATCCTCAAACTTTGGATTGAATTAATATAAAATATGCCTCTAAATTTTGACAATAGAGACTAGATAGGTCTATTCTACATACACTCACCAAATTGGTCTACCTTCTTACTTCAAGTACTAAAAGAAATAACTTGGAGCATAATTAGAGACTTCTTTATTATGTAAGTTACATTGTCTATGTCATTTATTTTTTATATAAAAAAATTTACAAACTTAGAAAGAATCTTATTCTAAAACACATTGATGGATTAAAAAGGCTAGTTAGTTCTATGCAAGAAGAATCTCATTATTTAAAGATATATAAGGTGATAAAATAACAAGGTCTTATAACAAATAGATTGAATATTCTTGCATTATTTGGCCAAGTTGACACACTTGAATTTGACTCCAAAGACCACTCATAAGAAGAGTAGTATATTTTTGGTAAATACAATACAAAGAAAGAGAAATAAATAACTCTTGTCTATTATAAAAGACCATATTGCATAGATTATAGGAATGTCTTTATGTTCAAAACATATAAAGATATGAATTCATTGTCTTATAAATTTTGAGTAAAAAAGGTCTTTGAATAAAATTATTTTGAGCACTTACACTCCAACAAGTAATATTTGGAATAACCTTTATTTATGTTAAGAACATGAAAGTTTTCTAGTCTCTTATAGAAGAAGCATTTTTTTGGAAAAATTTAGGATTAATAAAATTAAAATTTTTTTATATAAGAGGAATGGTCAAAAAATAAAATATAAATTACTATTTAGCTTAAAATTATTCAAAATAATAAAACATATTGGTAGAAGATACAAGTTTTAATTTAGAAAAAATCACAAGATAAACTTAAATACATCTAAAAATTTAAGAAAACAAAGTTAATAGAGAAGTAATTAGCTTTAAATAATATAAAACACTACTTCATATAGAATTATATCCCTCTACCTAAACTACAAATTTAGTATAGATTGGATTCATAGTAATTAATATTTAATTACATCCTCTTATTATATAATTATTTTCTATAAATCATTAAAAAAATCTCTCTTCTGTTTCAATGAAAATAATAATACAATTGCATTATGTTTAATAAATTAAGTGCTATGCCAAAAAAGCTCTACTTATTTAAAGAGTAAAAAGATTCAAAGAATATAACCAGTCTTATTTAAGATTGATGTGAAGTTCTAATTTTTTAAAATAATTCTTGAATTAAACCAAACAACCAAATATTTTTAACAGAGTATGAGTTGTGGAATTAAGGTTTGGATAAGAGATACTACCAGCTTTACTTGGTGCTCATATGTTATACATGAAAGCAACAAGTGAACATTAGACAAAGATGGAAGAACTCTTCATCTAAAAAGTATTTCTATTTTTATAAGAATAAATAGAGATGATGCTCTATTGGTGTTTTTTATTTTTATTTCATTTATTTTTATAACTAGTTTTTAACATCCTTTATCATAGGTTGCTAATTTTTATTATTCTTTGGTTATAAGCTGAAAGAACATTCTAAATTATATTTTAAGATCTAAAAATAAATATTTAGATAAATATTTGTATTAAATATTTATTTTTTCCATTGATAATTTTTGAGGTTAATTCTTTGTGGCTATAATACTCATTGAAGTAGGTTGTAGCAAATATTTTTGTTCTTAAATCAAAGTAGCAATCTATTCAAAAATTTATATCAAGATTATACAATGAATTTTTTTGATTAATTTTAAAGTTTTTGTGTTTGAAGAAGAATGTAGATAATTACATCTTTGTTTAAAAATCTTATTAGAAAAATTATTGAAGTAAATAAATAGATGTATAAAAGTTTAATACTGAATTAAAAAAATGAAAGAATACCAACATATAAACCACTAAAAAATATGAACTTTAAGTATTAATAAGACACGACTTATTAATATTAATAATATTATTTTTAAATCTATCCATTTAGAACTATCATAAATATTATAGTATATTCAAAAAGCACACAGCTACTTGTTGTAATGGATTTTCTATAAATGATAGATAGATTTTATATTTAAGTATCTTCTTTTTAAACTATTAATTGTACAAGTATAATACTATAGATTTTTAAAAAAAATTAATAAGAAAAGTATCAAAATAAAATTTCAAATTTTCACATAAAGAATTATTTTAAAATCCACCATTCAAATTGCATCCTAGAGAGTAACACATAAGATACTAAAATAAAATTTAATTTCTTTTATGATTTATTCTTAAAAATATTCTATTTATTCAAAAACAATTCACACTTACATTCTAATATCCAAATTATTCTACTCTATAGATTCACTACTTATTAATGTCCCTTGATTCCTCTACTATTATTTAACCTCTTTTTATTTATTTATTTATTTTTATATAATCTAATCACTATAATTTGGTCTATGAAAATTTCTACAAGTAATTTGTTAATATTTCTTGATATTTAATCTAACATAAAACTTTTATATGTGATCAAGAAATTTTCCTTATTATTTGGTCTAATAAATAACATTCACATGTGGTCAACCACTCAATCTTAATATTTATTCTAATATGAATTCTTTACTTATTTAACTTATATAATCTTATCTTATTCTATACATTTGTGCTACCAGAATACATTCTAATAGCTGGATATTAAATAACCAAATCAAACAAATAATCACATGTTAAGAATAATCTAGTATTATAAATAGAATAATATATGATACACATAGATGCATCTATTTTAATCTCTCAGCAGCCTTAATCATGACATTGTAATTCTCATATAAAAAATAAGATATATTAAAAAAAGTCTGTTATTAATCTAGTTAATTTCTGAATAAATTTTATATAAAGTCTTCATTTGCATTTGATCCAACATTTTGTAAAATTTATTTAAAGTGTTAAATTTGAGAACTTGTAAAAAATATATATTTTTTTACGAAAAAATTCTTTTATTTAAATTATATTATTAATTATTATAAAGAAAATTTAAGCTATTTTTTTCTTTTATTAAAGAAATCTAGATTATATGTAATAATTATCAATACTATTTAAATAAATAAAAATAAATAATTATAAGTAGGATTAGATAAAAAAAAAAAAACTTTAGGTAGATAAGATCTTTAAAAATCGTAAAAAAAACTTTGTAGTTTTAGATTAAATATGTAAACTCTTTTATTTATGTCTTGTGGCTATAAAAGCATTTAAAAACTTTGATGCTTAGCATGTAAGCTATAAGGTCATTGAAAAGTTGTTATTTGATTTTTTTATTAATTAGTATACA